AGTGGTCCAGCGAAGTCCATGCCGGTGTGAGCAAAAGGTGGATCATCGCTTACTCTACATGATGGTAGCTGGGCGAACTTTGGTGTACCGTATGGCTTCCCTTCGTGTTTTCTACATGTAACACATACTCCAATTACGCGTTTAACGGCTTCTCGACCTCTTGGAATCCAATATACTTCGCGAATGCAGTTCAATGTTTCTTTGACACCGTTGTGATGGACGACTTCGTGACAGTTGCGAATTACAAGTTGCGTATAGAAATGTCGTGCAGGAAGAAGTATTGGCCGCTTTGTCGTCATGGGTAATGATGATTTATCTATTCGACCTTGGCATCGAATCGTACCTTCTTCGTCCAAGAATAAATCCAACTGTCTTACGAGCAGCGGTTCTTTCTTCGAAACTCCTTGGAGATATGACCTTTCGTCTTCGAAATTGCTTGCCTGTATGGTATTCACCCAAAGTTTTTCAGCTGCTCTTAGTTCATTCGCAGTTACTTCAATTGACACTGGCTGTCTCCTCGTTTTGTCACCGAATCTCTTTAATAACGCTGTTACTCGTAAAGTTGCTCTTTGGTACTGTACCGGTTGCAATCCATGATGGCTTCTACGTTAGGTGGGGTGATCGTAACATTGGCTAAAGCTCTCGTTATCGTTGGTTCAATCTTGGGCTTCGTGATTTCTGCAAACGCGCTCAGTTCGTCACTCTTCGTAGGTCCTGGTTCACTCGGCCAAGCCTCCTCGGTGCTTCGAATAAACTCTGGACCGTTCCACCACGTCGTATTCTTCGTTAACTCAATTCCGCGACTTCCTCGAGATGGCAAATCTGCGGGGTTTTGTTCGCCTGGGCAAAATCTCCAGGATTCTTTCTCGACAAGGTCCCGTATCTCTTGGACACGGTGATTGACGTAAGCTTTCCAAACTTTCTCGTTTCTGATCCAACACAAAACTGTGTAAGAATCAGTCCAACAAAATACTTCAGGAGTCGTGTTCAATGACGTTAGCCCTTTCTGGACAGAGTTCATCAATCGAGCTAGGATAGTTGCACCCAGTAATTCTAGTCGTGGTATGGATTGTTTTTTTATCGGAGCCACTCGCGTTTTGGAGGCCACAAGATTTACTTCAATCTCTCCGTTATGATGAACTGTTCACAAATACACTACGGCTGCGTAGGCCTTCGATGAGGCGTCACTAAACCCGTGAAGCTGGTGACCTGTCGGTTTCTCTTTGGTTCTTCGGAAGTAACATCGAGGTATTCGAATGTCGTTCAATGCTGAGAGGTCTACGATAAATCTTTTCCATGCCGCTAACTCTTCTCCGTCTAACACGTCATCCCAATTAACGCCATGAACACACAGAGTTTGGAACAAAACTTTCATACAGATCGTAAATGGGTAAGGAATCCAAGTGGATCAAACACTTTAGCCGCGAGTCGTAGCACTGATCGCTTCGTAGGATTAAGTGTTGCCGCAAAGTTCACCAATGCAGTTAGGTCATAGTGAATTTCATCAGTGTTGATATTCCAATTCAGTCCTAGAATTTTTATAGAACATTCTGGTTTGGGATCGTCATCAGCTTCGGATCGCGCGGACAAAATGTCGTCATTCGCTTCGTTTGAATCTCTCTCAGTTCGGTTTTCCTTTTCTGTCGAGTTGGTAAACACGTCTTGCTTACTCTCGAGGGGTTTCACTTCAGTTAATACGGTTTCGTCGACTTTACTGCACTTCAGTTTGCCGGCGACTTTCGTCCGAAGAATTGTCGAGTTGGAATTCCATTTTCGCAATTTAAATCCGCCAGAGTTCATGATGTCGTTTGCTTTTTCGTAGATTTCTAAAGCCTGGTCATCTTCCATCGCACCTCCAACCAAATCATCCACGTAGAACGACTCTTGCAACAATGCAACGACTTCGGGTTCTTTCGTTTTTTGCGATTCCAAATGACTTTGTATAACCGAATTTAAAATAGCTGGGCTTGGGGTCAACCCAAATACTAGGCGACAAAACTGATATTCAACAATGTCTGGATGTTCCTTGTGTATATCGTCGAACCACACGAAGCGCAACATTCGCCGGTCATCTGGATTTATCTCAATCTGGTGGAACGCCTTTTCCACATCGGCCACGATTCCTACAGGGTAACCCCTGAACTTTACAACGACGTCAAATAGGTGGGGAACTAAGTTCGGTCCCTTTTCCAGGCAGTCGTTGAGGGACAAATTCGATGAACCGTGCTTCGCTGACCCGTCGAAAACTACTCGAACCTTCGTAGTCGCCTTATCTTCTCGAATCACGCCGTGATGAGGTAGAAAATGCGTTGCTTCATCGCTTGCCGAACATCCAGGGACTTTCTCGATTATACCTGACTTTATTTGCTCTTGTATGACTTCATCGTACTGTTCAAGCAGCTCTTGATCAGTTCTCAAGCGTGAATGCAGTTGTCGTAGTCGTTTCGAACATGGAAAATATCCATTTGTTGTGGGCATACGATCATCCTTCCAGGGAAGGCTCACTTGATATCGACCCTGGTTCTTGTTGAAATTTGAATCTCTCAAAAACTCCTTCTCCAGCGACGGGTTTGGCTCGAAGATGCCAAGCGATTCTGTGTCCCAAAACCTTTGAACAGCGCGGATCAAACCTTCGTCTCCAACACTTTCCACTGGATCGAACATCAGCGCAGAATCCGTTTTCTGAACAATGAGTTGCGTGATAGTTGCATTCTTTCCAGGTGTCTTTGCATAACCACTGCCGGAGACCATCCATCCGAATTCGCTATTAACTGCCACAGGGCCCCCGTCTCCCCGTTGTATCTCACCCGTAATTATGTCGAAATAGTAGTCGGAACCAATTAAGATGTCGATATTCTGTGCCGAATAACTGTCGTTAAGCAGACTTTCATCAGCCAGATCCAACCCTTGCAGGTGTGTATGTCGGTCAAGGTCAAGCGTTGTCAAAAGGGGCGAGCAAATCTTAGGATAACAGAGTGCTGCGATTTCAACGTCTTTCGATTTCCCTTGCAATTCTACACGAACTCGATCGCATCGTTGTTTAACAAATCTATCATCTCCGAATGTATTCAAGTTCAAAACTTCAGTTTTTTCCGAGCTAAGACCTAGCTTTTCCTTCAACGACTCTGTCACATACGATCGCTGGCTTTCGCTGTCCATCAAGACACGTACAGGAATTAAAGCATCTTCCACTTTCGAGTAAGCATACGCGGTCGCAGTTTGCAAGAAAACTTTACATTTCGATCGAGTTGCTGCAGTTGTCGAATTTTGACATGCAGTAATGGTTGCGCCTTTGCTTGCACTTGTTTGGGGCTGCTCTTCTTTAGTTGTCGATTTTGAATCACCGTCCTTGTAATCCTTATCTTTTCCACCAGCGTTTGGGAATTTTGCCACAACCTTTTCGCAAATTGATTGGTGATGTCGCCCTTCGCATCGACGACACCTTTTCGACGGATGACATTGGTTGGCACGGTGACCGACTTGTACGCACACGAAACAACGATTGTCTCGTCTCAAAATTTCCTTTCGCTCACTGGGTTTCACTTTCGATTCACACGAAGCTGAATAATGCAGATTCCCACAGTAGGCACATCTGATCGCACCATACGGTTTACTATCCCTCCCTTGAGCTGCTAGCGAAGTAGTCGTAGATGGAAAACGAGGTGGTGGTTTTACCTTCTTCTCGCTGTCGGCCCTTACATGATCACTTAATTCACGAGCTTCCACTTCCTTTCGTATTATCTCTAATAACTCCTTTATCTCCCATACCTCTTTATCCGATTTTCTAGCGATTTCAAGTCGAACGTCCCCAGGTATCTTGGACATAATAACTGGAATTAGTAAACTCCCGTACTGATCCGGTTTCACACCAAGAGCTTCTAATCCTCTAACGTTGACACTTACTTTGTCATATACAAACCGCAATTGCGATGATTTCTCCCCAACACATGGAGCTAACTTCAAAAGTTCGTCCATATGGGCTGCTATGATTTGTTGCGATTTCCCGAATCTCTCCTGTAATATATCAATAGCCGATTGGTAGTTATCCGCTGTAACTGCCAGTCCCTTTATTGCTCGAAGCGCATTTCCCTCTAATAATGACAAAAGATAGTTAAACTTGTCAATGTTTGTTAAATACGAATTTCGGTGTACAGCGCTCTGGAAACTTTCCCAAAAAGTTCGATAGTTTGTAATATCTCCTTTGAATTTCGGTAGTACCAACTTGGGTAGCTTAATTGCAGGTGCGTAGTGCACTGTCGATCCGGGTTGTAACACAGATTGTACCGTTGATGCGTTGATGGTATTTGATGATGCTTCCACTTGGTTCGCTTCATGATTGTTCGATGTTTCCACTTGGTTCGATTCATGACTGCTCGATGTTTCCACTTGTAGTTGCTCGTCGTTCGATTGACTTGTCCCCTCGTTGGAGACAACATCAGTGTTTATTTCGCTTGTTTTAGAAGTCGTTGGCCCAGGTTTATCGATTACCTTGCCCGTCGCACTCGTAAATTTCTCGATTCTACTACTTACGTCGCTTGCTCTCGAAAACATTTCTTCCGTTTCTTCGATTTCTCGTTCGATATCGTCGATTTCGCATAACTCTAGCACTTGAACATCGAGCTCTTTAAGTCGTATTATTTTCTCGTTTAACAAATTCGCTATTGTTCGTAGTCGATCCTTATTCGTTTCACTCCCCTGATCTAACAGCTCGATCGCTTCTTTGCTGTATCTCGTAACAACTCCCCGATTTCCCGAGCGAATAGCTCGTATCCTTTTCAAATCTTTGTTCGGCTCGCTCATATTCTCGCGTAAACAACTCCGATATTTTCGATTTTAATTCGATCTTTCGTCAAAGCTAGCGCCCCACGTTGGGCGCCATGTAAACAACGTTCAATTTTACTATATTTTTAATAACATTTAAACACATATCACAATAAAACAGCCGGTTCGGCACTGGCGCTAGCTTTGTTATATTTTCGCCATGTCTGGAGGCGTGAACTCTAACAAGAAGGCGGGTTGTGGGCGTGCCACACTAGCTTCTGATTGGCGCGTTGTCTCTACGTCATTACTATCATTTATAATGTTAATATAAACCTGAACCGTTCGATACAGTAGCTGTAGTCAGTAGCGAACTACCTTTGTTCAAAAATAGTAGTAGTTGTAGCTGACTACATATTTTTGAAGTAGCTGTAGTTATAGCGAACTACAAAAATTTTGTAGTCAACCCACCCTTGCAATCCATACTCATCGAATTTTCAAAACTTTATTGTGATCATATGAAGCAAAAGTTCTGTCACTTGTTGTTTACACTTGCCAATGTTAACTGTTGAGTAACATACACACTATTCGAGGAACATGCATTACTGTAGCAAAGAGTCAATCATATATCGAAGACCATGCACTGAATAGTAGAGAATGTTTTGAAGGTCTTGAGTGAAGTATATAATTCCATTCCAACCCTGTGCACAGTTAATGATATACCACACTGTTCAGTTTAACTCAGCATATCCACACAAAAACAATTTGTGTTGTGGGAGAATATCTGTTTGAGTAGAAGGTATCACAAGTTTAGGTTTGTACATTGTGTGCCATTGATCCATTGATCTGATCCATCCATATAATATATGATTATTGTAGCTGTTAAGTTATCTTCCATACTGATGAATTTAGGTAAGATTGTCTTGCAAGTGGGTTGTTCTGACAAAATTATCCAGCCAATATCCAGTAGATCAGTACATGTATTCATCATTCTTGTATTAATCTCTAAACAAAAACATTTATATTAGAAAGCAAAATGACAATGTAATGAGGAGGGAGGGTAGGGATTCTTTTATTAGCATTTGAAAATGGTTGTAACAATTTTGATTAATTAACTCTATTGTGTAAAACCAAAATGTATATAAAGTATAATTTTAACTGATGACATCTTTACCTTTGCTCTAACACTACATTTGATGACAACTTAGTTGGACTGTTGTTTTGAACAGAAATACAGGACCAGGATTTAATTCAATATCTCCTGAGAACATTAGTTTCTTGTGATATTGTTAATTGGCAATTATGCCTGCAGCCAGAGTTTTGACTGTTTAAAATATTACACAATGATTGTTTTTATACTGTATAAATGTCTATAATAAAATGTGGTATTTGGCTACTTACTAGATGAGGATAAGTTTCCATGTTGATAGATAACTTTGGAATAATATTACAAGTAGAATGGTGAAAACAAGACAGCCAATTCAAGATAAAATCAAGATATTTTTGAAGCCAAAATATGGCAAAGAATAACATGAGTACACGACTTACACGAGGCCAAACTACGCCCGTTCTCAGGTTAGGTGCGAGCACGATGTAAACATTGAACTATAAATAACAAACTATTATTATATTATTAACTATTATTAGTAGTTATTTATAGTTCAATGGATGTAAACAATTGATGTAAGCTAATATTGGCTTAATTATACAAGCTCGTCGCTGAATGGCTGTGGGTATAAACGTTAATACTAATGTGCTTCGCAGATACAAAAATAAAGATATACACCAGCACTGCATTGATATATGTTCATACCTGGAAGTTTTTTTCATTATAAAAGTGTATTTTCCCAATTTAGATTGGGTGGGTGGGTCATGAAATAAAATTGGTAAGATTAGATGGGCTTTGAAATTTTTATCTACATCCTAAGATGGGTCACCAAACTTATTGGCAAAATTTGTGATTTACCTCCAGCCCACCCTAGCAGTTACTTTATGACCAGTCCCATATCAAAACTTTTTTTTTAACTAACACATGCATAAACTATATGTTTTTTATAATGAAACCGTTTAATTTCATTATAAAGAGCACTAAAAATCTACTTGTCTCTACCGATGCAGTATTCACAAAATTATTCATTGACATTGATTGAAAATAATTGAATTGGTTAGGTAATTCTTATATATAGATCGTGTTTATGGTATTTAGTAGCTACTATATATAGACCAAGGCTAAGGCTAAGCTATAAATTTACTAATATTTTCAAAATGCGTGATTCTGCCGACTGTGCAAACCACCTGTCATGGAATTTTGTCTCCTTATTGTAATAAATAAATAAATAAATCACATTTTTCAACGCTCTTTTCAACTTGCAATCGTTTTGTTTTTAGATAAAAAATTCAAAATTTATGGGGGGCGAATTTCCTAAAGGGGGATGATATTCCTAGGGTATTCGCCCCCGGGGGAGATATTCCTAGGAATATCGCCCCCCTTTCGAGAGAAGGCGATTCTCCTGGGGTGTGAAATTCCTGTGACACCGGCATTCGAGATTTTACAGCTATTCGAGATTTTACAGCTGTTCACTATTTAATACTATCAACAAAACTCCCCATGAAAATATCTTTATTGCATCCCTTACTTTCCATTTTGAAAACAACGGCTTTTCTTGTTTATCCGCCACAATAAAGGGCCGGATTAACCTTTCGCGGGGCCCGTGGCATTTTTTCAGCGCGGGGTCCTACAACCCCCCCCCCCCCCTGGCGGGCCCGAATTCAGAATTCCCTGAATTCAGAAAGATTAAAAAACATCAATATGCACACCATGATATGAAAAATTTCCTGTATATTAATATATAAAACAAGAACGTATGTACATCAATTTGAATTGTCATCCAACCCAGCTTATAGCAATAACAATAATTTAACAATAATTAGAGAACTTAATCAAGTAAAAGTCAAACCTAGTCAACTGACTAAACATCATAAATTTCATATACATGCTCCGATGCGGCGATGCTCGGCATGTAAAATGTACATGTACGTGATGTAACATATCTTTTATTAAGATCTCATTCTGCAGAGGCTTTGTAAACGTTGTGCGTACGCGATTTTTTAAGAGCAAACTCGCTAATTATCGACGACATGTCGATGCTATGCAGAAGATCATTTTCAATACTAAGTAGAATAAGGCTGTTCAGGCTGTAATGCGATTACAGTGTTCGGAAATAGTTTCCAGATTGTTCTCCAAAAGAAGCCTGTACATGCGCAATTCCAATGAATCTAGGTTCAATGTGACGTCGTTGTCATCTTTCGTCAAGTCATCTTCGTCGTCAGATTCATCAGAGGCAGAAGCAGTTATAGTTACATCCAATGATTTCATAGCAAAATCTGTGCGGAGAAAACCAGAAAACTGTACTAATTCATCAGACAAACTGGCTTCTAGATCTGTCGGGTATGCCTCTTGGTGAATCTTCGCACTTTCGACCACTTCTTCAACTGAAAGGTCGTATCGTAAAAAGTTATTTCAAGACGCTAGCCTCATCAACATGTACATAAGTTGGTTTTCATGAGGGGCGTCGTCAATTTATATACAAAGTATTAATATTTACAAGAGAATAAGTAGAAACAAAGAAAAACTATTTACAAAAGTGCATGTGGATACAGGAGGTGTGTCCCATACATTAACATTGGTAACAGAGTCAAAGTTTAATATTTTGTTTGAAAATATGGATTGATTGTGCTTCTTTTGCTTCCCGAGAAAGGCTATTCCAAAGCTTTGCCCCGCTGTATTTAAAACTTTTTTTTAGGAATTCCCTTCTCGGTTTTGGGAGAGCTAAATCAGTATAGCTATTTCTTAAATTATAATTCGCTTGCGTTAACCTACTCCCAGTCAGTGACTCTTTCAAGTTAGGGGCAGTATAATCGTTTAGAATTTTATACAGAAGAATGGACTTCATCTTCTGTCTTCTACTTTTTAAAGTTTCCCAACCAAGAGTTTCAAGAACAACAGCAGATTAAATTTCGTAGCTTGCGGCAGCAATTATTCTGGCCGCACGATTTTGAAATTTCTGAAGTTTATCAAGCAGTTATGTGCCGCAAATGTGCCATAGTGGAGAACAGTAATCAAAATAAGGTTGAATCAAGGCATTATAAATCATTTGGAGTGAGCTTTAATGGAATGAAATTTTTAACCCTTCGCAACATTGCAATGCCAGATCCAACTTTTTTCAAAACCTGTTTATCCCAGTTAAGGTTTTCATCTAGTAATACGCCCAGACATTCGAAAGAGCTAGTTCTACAAAAACGTTTGCTGTTCAAGAACACAGGATAGTCGTGAATTTTATTGGTTAGATTATATGACGATCCTATGTCCATGTACTTAGTTTTAGTAAGGTGGTGCTGTAGTTTGTTACTGGCGAGCCAATCACTGATTTGTTGTAAGTCAGAATTTAATTTATCAATCCGCTCATTATAATCGTTAGAAGAAAAAAATATTTGGGTATCGTCAGCGTATAAACAAGGTGTAGTTTTTTTGAGTTTATCCGGTAGGTCGTTAATATAAATTAGAAATAGCAAAGGCCCTAAAATTGAACCCTGGAGGATACCACAAATAATCTTTTTTGGGGACGATGTATATCCGTTTATAGTACAAACGTGTTCACGATTCGTAAGGTAAGATTTAAACCAGCTTAATTCATTATTGGAGATACCAAACTGTGTTTCCAATTTGTTAAGCAATATTTGGTGATTTATCGAATCAAAGGCCTTACGGATATCTAAGAATACGACTCCGTTCAATTCGCCTTTATCCATATTTGCTTACCAGTCGTTACACATTTGTACCAGGGCACTCAGAGTCTAATTCTAATATTAATTCCACCAAGTGAAGTGCAAGAATCTAAGTCATGAAGTCCACCTTATCACAACCCGCACACCCGATTACCTATATATACATGAACTTACGGTTACAGCTTTAACAGCTGGCCTCTGTAGCTCAGTTGGTTAGAGCGCTGCACCGGAATCGCAGGGCCGTAGGTTCAATTCCTACCAGAGGACCTTGTGCTGCATTTTTCGCAGTCGTTCCTGGTTAGGTCTTAAAATGTATATATTCTCACTTGGATTCCAAACTCTAACATTCTAATATTAATTCCACCAAGTGAAGTGCAAGAATCTAAGTCATAATGATTCTAAGGGCCTATAGTCTATACCTGAATAAGTACTAAAAATAAAAAACTAAAAGACGTACCTGCCTACTTGAATGATTGTTGAATGATGGCTTCAGGCCTCATAAAACTCTGTCGTCTTCTGCAAACTATTCAAGATTTCCGTATTTATAATTTTAACTATTAGTTTAGAGTAAAGCCGTTTAACTTCAATTTCTGAATTTTCCGACCACCCTGCTATTTTCTTGGGCGAAGCTTTACTTGGTTGCAAGGGCGCTTTTTTTACTTTTTGGGCCTCCGTTTTGATTTCTAAGGCCTCACGGTTTTTTTTATTTTGGTCCGATCTCTTAAGCTTTAAAGGGCTTGCTTTTTATTTCTGGGGCCTCGCTTTTTGGAGTAACGTTATTTTACTTCTGTGGCCTTGCGGCTTTTGGCGCCCTTTTTTCGTCCAGCCACGCGCCAAAAAATTAAACCTGAGTAAAGCGCGGGGCCCCAAAAAGCCCGGGGCGTATCCTAGTTTATTATATATGCGTGCAACCATGCATTACTAACTATATAGTATATATAGTACATTAGTTTATATTCGCATAATAAACCGTATAATAGCCGTTTTCACATTAGAAGACGGACAAGTCGTCTAGACGAACAAATCGTCTCAAAATCGTCTTTTAGTCGGACAAATCATCAGATGTGAAAACGTGTCGGACAACATTTTAGACGAACAAGTCGTCTGAATTTGTTCGACTACTTGTCCGTCTGTGAAGACGATTTTTGAGAGACGATTTGTTCGTCTAGACGACTTGTCCGTCTCTAATGTGAACAGGGCTAATGATTTGCTGTTATTTGTATACTCTATTAAGTATACTGTACTTTTGCTCAACCCAGCTGGCGTTCAAATTGCATATAATAATTAGTATACAGTGTGTCGATATATAGCGGTTACCATTCAATTATCGTTCCAGAACAGTGTTCCAAATGTTCTAGAATAGTAAATGGAGTGTCACCGATTTGGTAATGATTCTGCCATTCTGGTCCAAAAAGTCGGGCAACTTCACTTTGAACAGACGGCCAGTTGGTCGTTGTTTGCTGAACTTGCTGACGCAGAACTGGCTTTGCCGTTTGCACTTGTTGACCTTGTATGCCTGGATTTACGCGGCTACTTGATTGATTTCCGTTTGTGCCTTCTATAGGGCACCTGAAATAGCAGTAAGCACTTGTTCGTTGTCAAGCAAACCCCGCAAAAGTCTTCTTCCATGATCCAATTAATTTATCGCTGTTATTAGCACAGTCGACTCAACCATATTCAGTATTTCATGAATATTTGTTACAGTTGATTCCGTTTGACCTTATAACAACATGCGTTTGCAACCTAGGGGCTAGGGTCAAATGACAATGTTTCTATACAGCGCCGGCGGGATTTACAGTTGAATTTATAGAAATGTGGCAGATAAAACAAGAAAGGCCGTTGATCGTTGTTTGCCAAACAGAAGATGTAATACTATAGACAAAATCAAATTTAAGGGATGCGATAAAGATACAGGTATTTTCATGGGGAGTTTTGTTGATATAGCGAATAGCTGTAAAATTTCGAATAGCTGTAAAATCTCGAATGATTGTAAAATCTCGAATAGCTGTAAAATTCGTACACTCGTAAATTCTCGAATACTTTTGCAGTTTTGGCCAATTCTCGACATGAATTCCGATTTTCGAATACTTTTGGCCGTTTCTTGACTTGAATTCTGATTCTTGAATACTTTTGGCCGGTGAAATATGACGTCATATTTCCGCCAAAATTCAAGTTTTCTATTTGTGATCCTAGTTTGTGTATGTTGTTCAGTTCTTAATACAACATTCAACTTTTCACAATTGAACATTCAACTTTTCACACAATTCAACATTCAACTTTTCACACAATTCAACATTCAACTTTTTTACGCAATTCAACATTCAACTTTTCACAATTCAACATTCAACTTTTCACACAATTCAACATTCAACTTTTTTACGCAGTTCAACATTCAACTTTTCACAAAATTGAACATTCAAACTTTTCACACAATTCAACATTCAACTTTTTTACGCAGTTCAACATTCAACTTTTCACAAAATTGAACATTCAAACTTTTCACACAATTCAACATTCAACTTTTTTACGCAATTCAACATTCAACTTTTCACAATTGAACATTCAACTTTTCACACAATTCAACATTCAACTTTTTACGCAATTCAACATTCAACTTTTACGTCATTCAACATTCAACTTTTTACGTAATTCAACATTCAACTTTTTTGAACATCCAACCGCAATCCAATTTAAACGACGTAACGCCGGCTCACATGTGGCTCAATCACGAGGTGTAAAATATGGCGGATTTAATCGAAGTGAAAGAGACAATAGGCAAGTTAGCAAATAGAATTTCCGACTTGCAACAGTCAAGTGAGGCATCTAACAATTCAGGTAAGTGTAATATTGATTGTATTGGTTTATTAATATTCCTCTAAAAGTAATGTACTACACCTGAGTGACCTCTACCATTTTGTGAACATAAAATTTTAAACAAAGTGACTATATGACCGGCAGCTGGTCACAGTTTATCAAATACTAAATGGCCGGCAGTCTAGTGACTATAGTGGAACATAAAAACTTTTGCTTGCGTTAACTTTTACTGAACTTGCCGTTAGCTCATACGGCAAGGGCGCTGCGTGCGGAAAGTTAAACCCAGTCGGGGTCGGGATGTGTTTTGTCTGACTTAGCATTGTTTTTTCTTAAAATTTTTTAAACTTTTTTTCCCGACTTTTCTAACTCTTAAAAGGTTAGGGTTAGGAGTTAGGGTTAGAAAAGGGTTTGGGGTTGGGGATAGGTTTATCTTATAAAAATTCAACTTTAACAATAGTCACTAGACTGCCGGCCATTTTAAGTGTTTGATAAACCGTGACCGGCTGCCGGTCATATAGTCACTTCGAATTTTAAATTTACATAAAATTTGCGGCGCTAGGGTAAGTTCGAGACCGACCAGACCGCGTAGCTCAGTTGGCAGAGCATTGGGCTAGTATTCCAAAGGTCGTAGGTTCCATTCCCACCGTGGTCAGGCATATTTTTCAAGCTTGCCCGGTGTAGATATACACTCAGAGTAACATCACAAGCATCATATTCACCTGTATACACTTTATAATATATTTCGATCAAATTGTGGATTAAAAGTGTACAAAAACACCTTCCATTCACTTATTCGCTGCTTTTTATTTTGTTCGAATCAATTTATCCAAAAAACATAAGATTATACAAACGACACTCTACCTAGCGCCGCAAATTTTATGTAAATTTAAAATTTTATGTTGACAAAATAGTAGAGGTCACTCAGGTGTAGTACAGTACTTTTAGAGGAATATTAATAAACCAATACAATCAATATTACACTTACCTGAATAATGAATTGTTAGATGCCTCACTTGACTGTTGCAAGTCTATGGCGTCAAATATCCGCCAAAATTCAACTTTGTTATTTTATGTTGAACATTTTTCATTTCATTGGACTTTTTGTATTCTCCATTCAAGTTTGTATTGTACATTCAAGTTTGTATTTTGTTCAAGTTTGTATTCTACATTCATACGTTTTCATTTTATTCGACTGTTCGCATTTTACATTCAAGTTTGCATTTCGTTCATTGAACTTTTTGCATTCGACATTCAAGTTTGTATTCTACATTCATAAGTTCTCATTTTATTCGACTGTTCGTATTTTACGTTCATGTTTGCATTTTATTCATTGAACTTTTTGCATTCGACATTCAAGTTTGTATTCTACATTCATAAGTTCTCATTTTATTCGACTGTTCGTATTTTACGTTCATGTTTGCATTTTATTCAAGTTTTTCAATTGTGCATCCAACCGCAATCCATGAGGCATGAGTGATCGTGGGCTCAAACGATGGTTCGCGCCACAAAAAAAGGATTCGCGCGCTTTCAAAATGGCGGATCGAGATTATTTGGTCACCGCCATAAATGATGTATTAACTACCTTAAACCGCTATGTAGATTTAGATAGTTCCTCGACAGACTTCCAGCCAGTTATCTCAAGACTGGATTACTTACAAAGGCTTGTAGTTAATCTTGCAATAGATGATTTTGTAATAGAAATGATATAGGGGCCATTCCATTTAATGTCCACACCCCCCTACGGATGAATTTTTCTGAAGGGTGACTCAAAAAGTCGTTTCTGAGGGGTTAAGCCTGTTGGCATCCTTTGATCTCTGCGATTTTTCTGAGGGGTAAGGGGAAAATTCACAAATTTCTGAGGGGTGTTTTGTGTCGGCACTTTGATCTTTTTTTCTTAGGGGTTAAAATTTTACTGACCTCATCCGTAGGGGGGGTGTGGATTTTAAATGGAATGGCCCTAGTTAGCCTACAGAACGTTGGTTGAGATCGATAACAACGAAACGATTTCAGGTTACAGAGCGTCTATAGACACGACTGGGCAACGAGGAAGACCATCATTTGAAATCGGAGAAGAACAACTGTCTTACCTTTTAGAACAAGGATTTAATGTGAGAGACATAGGAAGTATTCGAGGCGAATGTCATCGTCTGGGCTAACTGTATCAGGTAAAAAACTGTACACAGTACTAGATATGATCTCTTTCGTATTGTACAGTATCAAACAATAACATATATAACAAGTGCATCAGACAGGACACCCCCTGGAAAACTGGTCAGCAAATGAATTTTTTGTTCACAAAACTGTTTGACTGCTATTGTTTCAATTTTAGAAATTTAAAAGGTTTGCATATGTTTGTAAAAATTTTTAAGCTTTCCTTATGTTTATAGTCGGGAAAAAATTTTAAGCTTTGCTTATGTAAATTTTTTTACCTCTCCTCATTTGTCAGCACATGTCATAAACACACCCTGCCTAAAGTGCTTGGCGACGGCCCTAGCGGCCTAGCAACAGACGACAAACCTGTTTTAAAATTTTGTAGATTGGGAGGGTGGGAGAGGAGACGGATCTATGGGGAGGGGATGCAGGGTGGACGAGCAGGGTTTATAGACACATAAAGTGTCTTATGAGACATTGTAATTTATAATTTATATAAGTTTATTTGCCCAAAAAAGTAAATGAACCCATTAGAATGCAAGACTCTCCCCTTGGTGAGTAAAATCGCCTGGCATTAGACAGAGTAAAAGAACATAGTAGGGCGCATTGCTGCTGGGTGGATTAAGCAGCAATGTCCTCAAATGCGCCCTACTATGTTCTTTTACTCTGACTAATGCCAGGCGATTTTACTCATCAATGGGAGAGTCTTGCATTCTAATGGTTCATTTACTTTTTTGGGCAAATAAACTTATATAAATTATAAATTACAATGTCTCATAAGACACTTTATGTGTCTATAAACCCTGCTCGTCCACCCTGCATCCCCTCCCCATAGATCCGTCTCCTCTCCCACCCTCCCAATCTGCAAAATTTTAAAACAGGTTTGTCGTCTGTTGCTAGGCCGCTAGGGCCGTCGCCAAGCACTTTAGGCAGGGTGTGTTTATGACATGTGCTGACAAATGAGGAGAGGTAAAAAAATTTACATAAGCAAAGCTTAAAATTTTTTCCCGACTATAAACATAAGCAAAGCTTAAAAATTTTTACAAACATATGCAAACCTTTTAAATTTCTAAAATTGAAACAATAGCAGTCAAACAGTTTTGTGAACAAAAAATTCATTTGCTGACCAGTTTTCCAGGGGGTGTCCTGTCTGATGCACTTGTTATATACGTTATTGTTTGATATTGTACAATACGAAAGAGATCATATCTAGTACTGTGTACAGTTTTTTACCTGATACAGTTAGCCCAAACGATGACATTCGCCTCTCCACAGTGTGGACACTTACTCCTAGAATACTTCCTATGTCTCTCACATTAAATCCTTGTTCTAAAAGGTAAGACAGTTGTTCTTCTCCGATTTCAAATGATGGTCTTCCTCGTTGCCCAGTCGTGTCTATAGACGCTCTGTAACCTGAAATCGTTTCGTTGTTATCGATCTCAACCAACGTTCTGTAGGCTAACTA